TCAAATTTTTTGTTTTACATTGCTGGACACTGTGTTGAGATTGATTGCAGTGGATTCCCAGTTGTTTCAATAGTTTTTGTTGAAATTGATGGATTGGCATGTGTTCCCTTGTAAAATACACTGGTCATGTTTTGAGCTTGTGTCAAGACTTTATATTCAGCATCATTAATCTGTGTCTATTTCTCCACCAGTACCTCACTGTTTTGAACATTATACAGGTACAATAAGTCTTAAAATAAGACAGCATAATATTTCAAATTTTACCTTTGTTTTTCAAAGTTATTTGAGTTACTCTAGTTTCTTTAGGCATATACATTTAGAACCACCTTATCTCTATTTTCAAATCATATTAATATGCGTTATATCTATAACCCTGTGTGAAGAGCGACAGCATTATTTCTTGAGTCTTCAAATTCAAAAACATTATATATCATTATTTGTTTAGATCATTTTTATCCTCCTGTAACTCACAGCATATAGATCAAGAACATGTTTTATCACATTTACCTTTTATTTTTTGAAGCATTTCACTTCAGAGAAGAATTTTGTAAGCTCTGCTATAATTTTAAATTTTTCTCATATCTAAAATTACTGAGTTGCTTATGTTACTTACACAAACACACAAATTTATTTTTAAAGTATCGTTAATGGATTCTTTGAAAATTTTCACCTAGACAATCAAAATTCAAACAGGGAAAGTTTTATTTCATTCCTTATGATGGCTATGTCTTTTCTTTCTTTCTCTGTGTACTACAACAATGCTAGACTAGACCAGTTAGAGTGGACATCAGGCCTTGCCCACATCTTAAAAAGAAAATACTAAACATTTTACCATTAAGTATGTCATTATTTCTTGTATACATATTTTTAAGGTATCAGGGGGGTTCTCTTTATTGTCTTGCTGAATTCTCAGGAATGTATTTTTTATGCTTTTTCTTATGTGTTCCATATCTTCAGCCATTAAAGAAATTTGAATCAAAGCAACTTTGAAGATCCATTGTACCTCAATAAGAATGGCTATAAACAAAAGCACAAAAGCTTTTGTTTATACAAATGTTGGTTAGGATGCAGAGGAGCCAGAAACCCTTATACCCTCTTTTTAGGAATGCAAGTTATTTCTTTTATTATGGAAATCAGTAAAGGTTCCTTAAAAAAACCTAAAAGTACAACTGTACATGTCACAACTATACCAACATTCAATAAAGGTACTGAAAAGCCGCTGTTTATTTTGGCACTATGCACAAATCCATATTATACATCAACCTGTTGGTCCATCAGCAGTTGATAAGTTTTTTTTTTTTAATGTGGTACATTGAAATCATTTTTAATGGATAACCAACAGTTCTTTTATTGTAATTGAGACCTACTAATGAGGATGCTCTGCTTGGTACTAGAAACCTAACTAGCTAACCAGTGTTAGTGAAATTATGGTTATTGAAGAATCTACAACCCCTAATTTATCGAACCAGTATAATACTTAACAATAATCTATAAACATTTTTCTTACCCCTCATCAAGGCACCTTCTTTTTGTAACAGAGACCACTGAAGAAAAACACAACCTATCAAACTGCAGAGCTATAGAGACCAGTCCCAATAGATGTATCTACAAAACACTGCCATACCTAAGGTTCACAGAATACTGCGAAAGAGGGGGCAAAAAGATTTTAAGAGTCAGAGGATCAAGAACTGTGAAACTGTGTTTCCTAGTAACATCAGAATCTGTGCCTAAAAAGTCTAACCAACATGACCACTCAAATGTTAGCTGAACCAGGATGACACTAATGAACATGGCAGACTAGATGGGAGAAAGGCCGTCAGACCTCAACTTACATGAAGATCTATAGGCAAGTGAGAAAAGCTGGGAGCAAGAGAGGTAATCTTCCCCAAGGAAGAGCATACCAATTGGTTGTCCAGTGTACAATGGTCAGCCCCCAAAATTTACATTCAGCTAGCATAATAAAGAATGAACAGGTTAAATCCGAATATGCATGAAATAACAATTCATAAAAAAAAGAGGTCATGAGTTTAAAAGAGAGCATGGAGGGCTATGCAGGGAGATTTGGGGGGAGAAAAAAAGGTAAAAGCATGGTAAGCAAAATGCAGTCTCAACAAAAAAGAAAATGTAGCACATGCAGGAAAGTGACTAACAAAACAAGAGCTTTACATGAAGCACAAAAACTGAATTCAAAGACTCACAGGTCGAAATTAGCAGGGAAAACAAGACCTGAAAATTAAAGTAGGAATACTAGGGATGCAAAACAAAAGGGCAAGATGTGAATAGCACAACCAATTACTCCGTATATCTATTTGTTCAGTTAGATTTTTGTGGTAGAATCTAATATAGATCCAGCTTTGAACTCTTGTACCTCTGCTTCAGCTTCCTGAACACTAAGATTATAGGCATGGGCTACCAAGCCTGGCTTTCGCTGCAGGTCTTGACTATTGCCCTTATGTAAATCATTTATTAAATCTAATGCAAAATGGCAGAACGAGCCAGAGGAAGATGATGGTTTCTGTGGGGCATTCAGAGAAAATTAAGGAGGGTCAAGGTATTGTTGCCTGATGACATTCTTGAAAGAAACTTAATACAAAAAAATATTTTAGACAAGGCGAAAGAGTGATGAAAACTCTCTTGGAATGGTGATCAATATTCTGAAAATGAGAGGGGGATTTAGTAGCTCGGTCCAGTTAAGGTAAAAGACATTCAAGAGCTCAAGTGGAGGAACTTTATATTGACTAGAAGCTCCGTGGTGAAGAAATTAAGAGAGGTGATCTGGGCTTCAGCATACCAAAGTTCCTAAAGCCATGAGCTCATTCCAGTCTGAAACAAGGACATCATCTTCCCTGAACTTCAGGAAAATTAAGTACAGTGCACATGGCACATGGCAAGTCATAGACGTGCCATGGATTTAGTGAGGACTTACTAAATTAATTAATTAATTGGTAAATGGTAACTTGGTAAATATTACCTCCATGGAATTTGGGTGTATCATGTATTTTAGAGGATGTCCTATAGCCCATATTTTTTTTTTCATTTCATATTTTTAAGGTACTAATTTACATAGATTAATGGATTTTACTCAAAGAATAAAGACTGTGGCAGAAAATCTTGACAATGATGAGTCAAACACTTTCTGGTAAAGCTGAAAATCAGCAGTGATTTTCACACATCAAAAACTGTTATTGAGGGTATGGGAACACAGCATAGACCAGGTGAGTGCAGTGCCTAGTGAGGTAAGAAAAGGACATTAGATATCCCTATATCTTGAGGTAGAAGCACTTGTGAGCTCTCTGATATAAGTGCTAGGAGCTAAATTCGGGTCTTCTGAGAGAGGAGCAAAGGCCCTTAACTGCTGAGATATCTCTCCAGCTTCTCTAAACCTAGAATAATATCAAAAGCTTGGAGTAACTGTATTTAGAATTATGAAGGACTCCAATAAAGTATTACTGTATCCTGAAGAAAAGATAATAGCTCAACCCAATTACTGCAATGACTTGACAAGAGTCAGCTGAAGATGACCAGTAAATCCTTGAAAAGAGCAACCACCTAAGAATGGTATATACTCACTCATATAGACATATAATTTAGGATAAACCTACTAAAATCTGTACATCTAAAGAAAGTAATCAAGAGGGAGGTCCCCAACTAAAATGCTCAATCCTCATCCTGAAAGGCAAAGAGGATGGACATCAGAAGAAGAAAACAGGAAATAAGTTAGGAACCTGCCACAGAGGGCCTCTGAAAGGCTCTGCCCTGCAGACTATCAGAGCGGATGTGGAGACTTATGGCCAACTGTTGGGAAGAGTGCATGGAATCTTATGAAAGAAGTGGGAAATAGTAAGATCTGGAGAGGACAGGAACTCCACAAGGAGAGGAACAGAACCAGAAAATTTAAACACAGGGGTCTTTCCAGAGACTCATATTCTAACCAAGTACCATGCATGGAGATAACCTAGAACCCCTGCACAGATGTATCCCATGGCAGTTCAGTGTCCAAGTGGGTTCCATAGTAATGGGAAGAGGGACTGCCTCTGACATAATCTGATTGGCCTGCTCTTTAATCACTTCCCCCTGAAGGGGGAGCAGCCTTACCAGGCCACAGAGGAAGACAATTCAGCCACTCCTGATGAGATCTTAAAGACTAAGATCAGAAGGAAGGAGAGGGGGACCTCACCTATCAGTGGACTTGGGGAAGGGCATGTGTGAAGAAAGGGGAGGGAAGGTGTGAAGAAAGGGGAGGAGAGAGGAGTTTATGGGGGGGATACAAAGTGAATAAAGTGTAATTAATAAAAGTTTAAAAAATGTCAACAAAAAAAGAACTAAGATTCAAATCAATATGCACAAAATGAAAATATACAGGTAAATATTTGCTCACAAAAAAAAAAAAAAAAAAAAAAAAAGAATGGCTGCCTGAGCTTTGGAAGTACAAGAGCAGGATACAATGAGTCCCAGGGAGAGTTAACGAGAGAGCTAAACTATCAAAGGAAAGAGAACTAACTGTAGCAACTGTTAATGACAGCTCAACAGGACACAGCAGAAGAGAAAGAAGTAAGCAGGGAAAGTACGGAGAATTCGGCAAAACTTAAAATTCACATACAAAACATCTTTGGATTACAATTCATAGAATTCGATGTTTGGGCTTTCTTTTTTAATTTTGTGGTAGCAGATGCCAAATTTCAGGATGCTGCCGAAAACATAAATGGTGAATAACGTGCCTTTAATCTAAAGAAGAATTTAAAAACAAAATATTTGTACTCAATTAAAAGAAAAGAACATGAGCTGGAAACAGCTACTAGAAAAGGTCGTATCTCTACACAAGGCAATGTTTTCTATACCTGAGATTATGAGATTCAGAGGAAGGAGTGGGAGATAGCAGCATATGTGCTCACTAAAGTCCTCAATTATAGGAATTGGGGAGGAATTAGCAAAATAGTTATGGGACGGCTAACTAGAGTAGGGGATGCACAAACTTAAAAAACAAACAAACAAAAAACAACCTTGCCCCTAGAGCCATTGCAGGTGTGACTGCTGTGTCATTTGTGTGTCAGTAGGTGGCAGAGAGGAGAGAGACTATGTCTATGTTTCCCCGCAGTGTTCTGACCTGTCGATGTCTGAATGATTAGTAGCCTAGCATTTCCTGAAAAGTAAACCTGAGATGAGCAGCAGTCTGATGACAGGGGGCCCAGACAGGGAGCCAACCTGAGAGGACCACCATTCCAGTGTCACACAGGCCTGGATGGGCTCCCGGGATGGGTATCTAAACAGAGACTAGCAGAACCCCACTTGGGACAATGCCCTCCCCCCAGAGGAAGAGGGAAATGAATCCAAGACAGACAAGTCTCACATGGGACCACTCAAGTGGGCCCAGACAAGAAGCAGCCCTGAAACAACCACCAGTCTGTTGCCATACAGGCCTTCACGTGGTCAGATCATGCCCAAGATCACACCTGACTGGTGCCATAATACACAAGTGGGCATAGTACTCCTGAGACCACTCCTGAGATGATCCCAGACACTTTGAGACCCTGGGCATCACTAATAGGAGCAAGCAAGTGGTGGAGAAATGGTAGAGAAAGAGAAACAAAAGGATGTAGTCACAATGAAGAGAGGCAGAACTGGGTAGTGAGGAACAGCCTGATGTGAGTAGCCTGTGATGCCACCAGGGACCATGGTGGAGTCCTGGCCTGTCCTACCACCGCTGGCCACGTATGGGTCAATGGCCCTACAACAGCAGGAGTCCGGTCCCTGGTCTGGGCTGCCACCCAGGGACATGCTGATATCTGAGGGCTGTGCAGAACTGGCCCCACCACTTGCCTGGGCATCGTGAAAGAGCTGGCCCTGGGGGTGTGGGAGAAGGAGAGTTGACCCGCCCCTAGCCGGCTGCAGAGAAGCCCCACACATTGCAGGAGTTGCTGGTGAGCCAGCCCAAGGATAGGCGTGTGGAAGGGCTGGCCTTGCCACTTGCCGCCTGCGCCTGCCATGCCATGAACGAGGGAGAGATAGTTTCCTCTCTCCTCACGACCCCCTCAACTCCAGCAGGAGTGAGACTTAGCCCTAGGGTCATGAGAACAAGGGAGCTGGTCCTGCCTCTCACTGGCTGCAGCACTGGAGGGAGCGGTGCTGTCCTCCCCTCCCTTGTCCTTCCTCACAGCAAGAGGGAGAGCTGACTGCAGGGTCAAGAGAGTGGTCTGGCCCTGCTCCTCACCAGCTGCAAAACTTGGGAGAGTGGGCTCTGAACCCTGCCTGAATCCAGGGTAGAGCATGTCCTGGTTGCTAGGGGAATGGAATGGGGTGGTGGTTAGGCAGCCCCGAGGGCATGAGAGCTGACAGACTGACCAGCTCAGATACCTCTCAGGCCCACATCCAGTGCTTAGAATTGGCCCACCCCAACATCTACCCCATTGATGAACTGCTGGAGTGCACAAAGGAGCCGGTTCTACAGATCCAAAACCACAGGAGCCCCACGATATCCAAAAGGAGTCCAAGTGAGGTTCCAGTATTGATAGAATGGCAGAAGCCAGAGGTCTCGAACTAGACCAACAAGTCATTGCAGTGAACATTTGCAAGCAAAGAAGTGTGGACAAAAGGGCAGACTGTGGGACACACTGCAACACAATACAGCTTCCATAATGAGTAGGTTGTTTTGCTTGTTTGTTTGTTTGTTTGTTTGTTTGTTTGTTTTGTTTTTCTCTTGTGGGGGAGGTTGCAAGGGTGATTCATGGAAGACGAAGGAAGAAGGGCAGAAGATTGAAAAAGAAACAAACAAGCAATCAGAGGATCAGGGAGTTTGCTGGGAGATTGTTTCTTAGTCATGTCAGAAGCTACCCCCATGAAGTCTCACTTACATGACTGCGCAGACATGAGCTAACAAGGAAGATACCAACAAATATGCCAAACTGAATGGGGAAAAGGAGGCCACAGCACTACACAAAGAACTACAAGGGACTGAAAAAAGCTAGAATCAAGAAATGTGGCTTTCCAGAGGAAGACTATGAAAGACAGTCCTGATGAGACCGACAGGCTAGGGTCAGATGGAAGGGGAGGAGGACCTCCACTATCAGTGGACTAGGGGAGGAGCATGATAGGAGATGAGAGAGGGAGGGAGAAAGAGAGGGCAGGTAGGATTGGGGGAACGAGGGTGGGGCTACAGCTGGGATACAAAGTGAATAATTTGTAATAAATAAAAAATTATCTTTAAAAAAAGAGAAATGTGGTTTTCTCCAGAGGTGATCAAACTACTTGGTGGTCCAGGACCATATGGTCAGTCCATTCATACAAGTAAAATTGTGTGGACTAAGCAGATTATGCTTAGGAATAAATATGAATATACATATATGCATGTAACAACGTGTAGTGAATAAAAGAGGCCATGACTTTGAAGGAGACTTTGAAGTGAGGAATTTATGGGAGGGTTTGGAAGGGAAAATGATGTAATTCGATTATAATATTAAAAAGAAAAGAAAAACATAAAAGAAAGAGAAACCGCAAATCAACATAAATACACTGTTTTACTCTTTTAAATTACAACAGTTCTCTACGTACGTACACTTTTCTGTCTCGCTATTCTGAGAATGTGTGGAAAAGTATAAGGAAAACGATTAGCCACTGAGATGAAGGGAAATATGCTCTGTAGTTCATTGCTTGAAAACATGGACGAAGATACAAAGAAATTCAGAAACAGAGTTTACAAAACACAACGATGTGCACTCATCGTGGACTATTACACTTGATGGTGCACCAGGCTTCAGTGTGAGAATGGCCAGATGAGGATGGCTGCCCTCCTTAGAATACACCCCACCCACCACGGAGAGCCGATGGGTACACCAAAACTGTCCAGGAGGAGAATTCTGACGCTTTTTATCAAAATAGCAAAAACTGTACAATTGGGAATATTACTCAATACCGTATCTCATTTATTTTATTTTTATGTACTTTATTATTTAAGTTGCAAATTAAAAAAAAATCCCACATGAAAATTAAACAGAGCCAGAGTCTATACATCTAAATAGACTTCTATATAATTAGAATAGCCATTCTGAGGCTGCAGGACTTCACATTGGCTCTTAAGCATTTTTATTTAATTTTTATTTTAGTGTTTTATTTTTAAAGAGTAAAAATTCCATGTCCTGACAACTCTTATATACACTATGAGTGGTTTGGAGTGTCTTGGAGATACTCTCAAATCCATAGAAACTCATGGCATCTTCTTCCTACAAGTCTCCTGTGTCTGTGATGCCTGTGTGATCCTAGACAGCAGAGACAGACACAAACTCATGTCCCAGAATCACTGTACCAACCACAAAGTAAGCTGAACTTGACAAAGTTACAACAATATCGAGTTATCAACTCCAAGTTTTAGCCTATTCCATCAGCAAGCATTTCCAACAATGAGATGTAGTTCATCACAACAACATTTCCAATAAAATTTCTGCAAAATTAGATGATAACGAGACCATGATATTTTAAATTGAATGAATTTGAAGATAGTTAAGAATTAGACTCCCGGTGGAATTCTTTATGTCACAAGCCATGAACACTACTGTTTAATGTACACTCATGCTCCATCTGCTTCCGTTTCCATTACTTGCATCTCCTAACCAGTTTCTCAAGCACACTTTCCAGCTCCATGCTGTGTTTTCTATTTATTGAATACATTTCTCACTTCAACATTTTTCCACCTGAGCTGGCAGTTGTGGCTTTTATGGCTGTACACATGCAGGTCTCCTTAGATTATGAACTTCATATTTTTTCATTTGCCTCATGCTTCAGTTCTCCAGCTTAGTAGGCCCTAAAATGTGCAAATTGAGAAGTGTTCTGTAGAAGCCATTGCTATTCAAGGCCATTGACTTGTCATCAATTAGATTAAAACATTGGTTTACAAAAATAATGTTTCTCTTTACTTCATAAAAAATAAAACACTAGCAAAAGGGAACCCAGCTGTGCTAAGAAGCGAATTACTTTATGTGGGTAAGCAAACATCTTCTGGTCAGGATGGCGATGTATTATTCAAGTGCACTTTACTACATCAGTTTTGAAGTAATGTGAACGTTATATGTTGTTTCTAAGTAAAATAAGGGAGTGGAAGAGACTAAAGACTTGACTTGTTTTTGTTTCTTTTTCTTCTTCAAACATGTGAGTTATTTAGGTTCTTAAAAACATGCTATCTGCAGTTCTGTGGGTACTAATAAGCAGGATGAGTGACAGAGTCTTGTGTATAATGTCTTAAATTGTTACATTTCAAGAAACTTACAAAAATATCCCATAGTTCTGAGCTATATAAAACTACAAATTACCAAAAATTCAATATGGCCATTGAGTATAAAAATGAGAGAAGATAGGAAAAAGCATCAATACATTTTCTTGTTTTTAACCAATAACATTAAAAAGCTTGTATTTTAGCAGCCCCCCCCAAAAAAAACTTGTATAATAGTTTGTTAACTAGTAAAGTTTTCCATGATTAGAAGTATTTTAATTTTTCTGGTATGTATTCATTGCACGTAGTACTGTATGTAATATTCTTTAAGCATAGCATCTCTATCTTCTTGCCCTCTTTTTTCCCCCTCCTATTAGTCCCTCCCTAGTTCTCTCTGGCAGTTCTATTTCTATTTTTAACTCATATATAAATACACAATCACACATATCTACACAAAATATAAAATCCACAAAAGAGACAAACATGATTATTCATCTTTCTGAGATGGGTTTGGCATATCCAGTTTCATCCAGTTTCTTGAAAACAATGTAGCTCCTTCATTCCACTTTAAGGCAGGAAACAACCTTCATTGTGTACATATGCCATATTTTTTTTAATAATTTTTCTGGCTTGGGAAACCTAGGGCGGTTCAATAGTTTAGGTTTAAATAGAGCTACAATAACCATAGGTGTGTACATATTTCTGTGATATGTTCACTTAGTTCTCTTCAGAAAAATATCCAGAAGTAGGATAATAGGGTTATATGGCAGTTTCATTTTTAGTTTTTTTAGGATCCTCCATATTGAATTTCATAGAGAAAAGGCTAGTTTACATTCCTACCAGCAGTGTGTAAGAATTCCCTTTTGAAAAACTAGAAAATTTATGTCTTCAAATCATAAGAAATAATCTGGATATGCTGGCTTCTGACTTTAATTCCAGTAC